TTTCTTTATATATATATGTATATGTGAGCATACAAATATGCAATTAATGACTGCGCGATGAATTAGCCTAGCAAAAAAAAAAATAAAAAAAAACAATTCATTTGGTCTAACTAAGTGAGATGAGTGCAGTGTCTACCAGCCGGAGGGTGGAGCGCTGCTCCAGCCACCACCGCCGATGCTGCCACTTAGTGAGGCACCTCCGTTGCTCCAGCCGCCGCCACCGCCACTGGGGTAGCCGCCAGCTCCATAATGCTGCTGCGGCTGCTGCTGCTGCTGTTGCTCTTGGACRCGCATCACCTTGAGCGTGCCGCGCTGCACAACATGCCCGCTCTTGAAGAAGGCGCCCTGCGCTTGATCAGCGCGCATGATAATGGCCTTTCCTCTGTGCCCGAAGGTGTCGATCAGCTGGCTGTTGATGGCATCCACATTGCCATAGCCGCCGCTGCCGCCGCCGCTTCCATAGAGTGCATCCTCTTGCAGCACGAGCTGAATGATCTGTGGCAGAATCGAATTCAGCTGCTGGCTATTATAGGAGGCACTGCCGCCACTATAGCTATGGCCGGCTGCATAGGATTGGCCATAACTGCTGCCGCCGCTGTTGGCGTGATAAGCTACCGGGGCAACAGGTGCCGCGTGCTCAATCACCTTGTACACCTGCTCGCCATAGGAACCCTGATTGTGTGCGCTGGCGTAGCCATGTCCATAGCCTTGACCGCCAACAGCGCCGCCTCCATTTCCATAGCCGTTGCCATTTTCCAGAATGACCTTGATCAGTTGGGTGGACCCACCGCCGACGCCGCTGCCCCCAACATATGAATAGCCATGTCCATGGCCGCCGCCGCCGCCGCCGCCTCCACCATGTGCATAGGCATGCCCGTTTCCGTGAGCAGCTCCAGTGCTTGGCGTCGCTATGACATTGTAGGTGGTCTTAGTTCCTCCACCACCGCCACCTCCTCCGCCACCGCCCAGGAATGACAAAAATGTGGCGTTACAGACGGCAAACGTGGCTAGTAGACAAATGAAGACCTGAGACGACAAGAGAGCGATGCGTCAGTTATCGGCGCATTCGTTATCCAAAGGAGCGGCTGCTAACTTACCTTCATGTCGGCTTTCTCTGAATCTCCTTCTCTCTCTTGACTTAAGTGGATGATATGCTCGAGCACCTGTGCGCGTCGAGCTGTTCCCGGTTAGCGAATGATGCTACTTTCGCGCTGCCGTTGAGCTTTTATACGGGTTCCGCAGCTACATAGTTCCCGTTATAGGGCCGTCCACAGTCTATCGTCCGGTGTCCGGAATCGGTTGCAACAACTCGCTGCTCACTACCCGCTGTTCGCTGCCCGCTGCCCGCTGCCCGCTGCCCGCTGCCCGCTGTCCGCTGCTAAGATTTGTAAGCTCAGCGATGACGTCGCCGATATAGAGCCGGCGATACGCATGCGAAGGGGAATGCAAATGGTAATTGGAAGATATGCGTAATGCGACGCAAGCCGAGGCAAACCGATGCGGCGCGACGCTCGGCTTCAAAGCCAAAGTCAAATCATTTTGCTTTAGTCCACTACTCATCTCAGCTCTCATAATTCACTTAAGATATTTGAAAGAAACTACAAAGCAAAGACAACAAATGAATACGAAATTGGCTAACTTGATCATACCCTGGCCATCAATACAACATTTATATACCAGATACTCTTCGAAAATAGTTTAGATTTCAGTCTTTTTCTAATCACAATTTATAGACTTTCAACTCGATCTCAGATCATATTCAAAGAGGTACCCAATATCTATAACAGCATTTTTTGTTCTCTTAGTGCTAAACGCAGGCACTTCAAAGCCATAGCAAATTAAAAAAAAAAAATACTCAAAGAGACCCTGGAAGATATTTCAGAATAAAAGAAACTCGTGCATGCACCGTATTTTATCTATATCGTTATCTTATCTTGTAAGCTATATATGTATATATATCTATGTTATAGCTATATCTTTGAACCTCTGCATGACTATAATTACCAAGACAAACCAATAATTTCTGGACTATGGAAACAGTTTTGGAAATCAACGGGTATATCATAGGGTATATTGAAATGAAGAAGAAGAAAATACTTTTTTTTTGTGTTGGCCGACTTTTCTCCCGCTCCTACGAATTTCATTATACAGGGTGTTTGAGGTAAATGTTAAGCGAGTATATTCAGTTGAAAAATAGAGCGAACATTGTGCTGCATATTTCACATAATAAATAATGGTATAGTAGCTAAATATACATACAAATGTACACACTGTATAAATAGTTTAGAAAATTGCAAATTTAATGCATTATTTTATATAAAATACTGCTATAATTCGTATTATAAAAGTTGTAACGATTTTAACCTCTTAAAGTAGGCAACAAGATTGTCCTCAAATTAAACAATTAAGCGAGGTATCTGGTTCGACTGTCAGGCTTACATTACACAAATTTATTTTCATTTTGTTTGTTGTTGCTGGCACATAAATGGCATAATACGTAACAAGAGTGGCAGAAGACACCCTGTATGTGTGTTATTTGTTTATTGGAATAACAAAAATATGCAACAATAAGACAAGCAATAACGCAGCTTCAAGCCGAACGGCCGAGCCATGGCTCCACACCTCGCTCTCTACCCCACCTGGGGCACAGATCCCACGTGTATCAAAAATTGACCGGCTTTTTGCATATGATTATCGATTCGAGATTTGTTTCTCTTGCTGTTCCTCTTGTGTCTTTCGTGTTGTTGCAACAACTTGGACGCTTGTCGATTGAGTCAATCTGTTGTTAGCTTTGAGCCATGAACAACTTCGCTGTCGCTGTTGCTAAGGCTGTCGACGTCAACGCCGCAGTCGGCGTCGCAGTTCGCTTATATCATGCAAGCGATTTCAAATTTTGTTTAGTTTTGTGTGCATTTTTGTATAAATTATTTAATGCGCATCGTTGCGCATTTATTATTATTGTTGTCTTGCATTTTTTTGAAACGAAATGCGATTGGCATTTTATCACTTGGAAATAGTGTCAAAACATCCAACTACATAGAGTTGGAGCTTCAGGTGATTATGCAGCCGCAGAGGATGATTCCATTCCATTCCATTGCAAACAGCTAATTGTTTGCATATGCATATACGAATGTATGTATGGCATGGGATGGTTAGGTATATGGTTGATCAATGACCAGCATTTCGCTTTAACACTTAGCCACTTTCCTGCTAGGCGCGCGGGCAAAAAGAAGGAAAAACGGTTTAATGTTGTTGACTCATTTCTATTTTATAGATTCATCAGAGTTCGATTAACGTTTGATCAGTTATGCAATGACAGGAACTTAACTAATACAAACGAGGAAATTAAACCATTATTTCATAATCGTTTTATAGTTTGGTACTCGCACCCATTGAAAAATACCCAGAGGTATGATGGTTTTCTTAAAATGTCTGTAACGGGCAGAAGAAAGCGTGGCAGACTCCATATATTCTTTATCAGGGCGATGAGCCGAGTCGATTTAACCCTGTCTGTCTGTCCGTCCATCTTATTAAATGTCTTAAATGTCCGTATATACAGCGCGGATATAGAGCTTATTATTTCGTTATTTTGTTAACGATTAAATGCCTTATCAAAATCAGTTATAATAACATATAACCTACATCTTTACAGCTAAAATAATACGTAACAAAAAATTGTAAACATAAATTATTTCATTCTATTTATTCTAGCATATTCTAAGAATCACATTGCGTTTGAAGTGTGTTAGAATTCTCAGCAGTTTGTTTAGTTTATGTTTGGTTGATGGTACCAAGCAGTGAACCTATTTTAATATATAATATAATGCCAGATGGGTGGCAGCCTCATATCTTTTGACAGGGATGCCAAAATTATGGAAAATGCTGCAAAACGGGCACAATATGCCGTTAATTCTTAAGGCGTCCATTTGAGAGGTATCTTACTCATAAAGTGATGAAATCTACTGGAACCAAATAAAATGATTATTGTCGCCAACATAAGAAAAAAACATGGGTCAGTCGAATATGTTAATCAAATCAGAAATAATTTTTAAAATATATGTATGTATGTATAATTATTCCGACAGCAACTAGTAGTATGTACACATTGATGTACTACAGCTTGCCTGCGCATATATAGATTTACATGTATACCTAGCATTGCCTTCCACAGCTCATTCTTGTATCTACATAGTATATAGTACATTCATATGTACATATTGTACACATATATGTACATAAATTCGGCTTGTACAAGTCATTTCGAGCATTACACACATGTACCGTGTCACGATTGAGTGCGCGCCTGACTTTGTATAAAATTTAGCGATTTCGACACTGTTATTTGTCTTAAAACTAGTACAGTAAATAAAACGAGCTGGGCGGCTAATCACAAGTTCTTCATAGATTCACGAATCGGAAAATGTAAGGGTTTTTGCTAATTTTTATACCCTGAACCCATTGAAAATAGGAAATTAGGGTATAATGGTTTTGTGGAAAAGTATGTAACGGGCAGAAGGAATCATCGCAGACCCCATAAATTATATATATTCTTGATCAACATGACGAGCTGAGTCGATATAGCCCTGTCCGTCTGTCCGTCCGTCCGT